ATTCATTTCAGTAAACTGTTGTATTGAAACAAAAGCAGTTTTATTTCGAACTCCATTACAGGTCAGTTCTGCTTTGTGTTTCTTTACACAGGGCAAACTGAAGAAACAAAGAAACAAAAACTTATATTTTGGAGAAGCATACAGATACAGGTAATAAGGTAAGAAGTTATATATATACACACATATACCTGCAGGAGTATCGCATACAACGTGGACATCTGTACTTTGCTTCTTCTGTACCACAAGTTTCACACCTASAAAAGCCCACATATAACATTATCAAAAATTAATTCTACTTATCTATTTATAAATTTTGCTGATTCAATGACTTGTCACAATTTAGGTAGGTAGTCTCAGTGAATAAAGTATGTGCAAGCAATGATAAAAATATTTACTGAAATTTCTCCATGAAATTATCTCCAAATGACTACATTTATAATGTAGTAAATGTTATTGCTATTAATTTTTTTAAATCAGACATTTTTTCTGTACTTTTATCAGGAAATGAGATCATTCACTGTTATTTGTGACTTGTATTCTGGGTAATCTGGTAAAAACTGTGTGACTGTATCTAGAASTCTGAGCTATGCTGATATTTTAAAAGTATACACACCAGAAAAAAAATAGTATAAAAGCCAGCCATATTTAAAGAGAGTATTAGTAATTTCTTTTTCTCACAGCTCTACACCTAACTGAGAATGAGCATCACAATTATCTAGAAATACTATTACCCATCATCTGTCCTAAACCGCTCTTCTAGGATCTTGGAATACTGACAAATTACTGTTACTTCTGTATGATTCACCCATGTTCTAGATAGTAATAGTCTCAAGAATCTGACCACAATTTGATTTTCTATGTTGTCACATGATCACACACTAAAAACAAAAGCAATATTCAAAGTACCCATACACAAGTTTCACATTTGAYTTCAAGAGCATTTTTGTTAAATTTTAATTCAACCCACTTTGTCAATGTTGGTTTTATAAGACTTTCTCTCATCTATATCCTGTTTCAAAAGAYTACTGGGTCTAAAGTATATAAAAGTTAGTCAGATACTGATTCCAAAGAGTCTTCTGGTTTCCAGAATTTTCAGTTCCTAACTTGACCAGTACTTCCTGAAAATTACCACTTCACATATYTTCACTGAATTTGTTATCTCAAAATACCCTTCCCTTCTCTAACCCTTTTTGCACAACATCACTCTGAGTCCAGGGACTAAATTTGTGCCTATTTTTCACATTTCACCTACTGTTAGTGTGGTTCCCATCACTAAACGGAGGACTCCACAGCTTTAATCACCCAGGGGAATTTCTCCCTGCCCTACCTTGACATGGCCAGTTTCCTCTTGCAGCCCAATGGGGGACTGATCTCAGGCTCTTCTTTCACTTTTGTGTCTTCCATCATTTCTTTCTTCATG